GCTGGTCTGGTCCGTCCACTTCTCTCCATCTCTTTACCTGCTCACATCCCTGCTACTATCACCCCTTGCTTGGACAATTGCCATCAACTCTTGCTCCTATTATTTGTTGGTTACCATATAGCTAAGGTGGTGTGTTCAAAATTTATAACTCATTATGATCTCACCCATCATGTGGTTTAAAATCTTTCAAAGCCTTCCTCTGTATGCTTTCAGGATAAAGTAAAAGTTCCTGTATACAATGTACAAATTCCCACACACCTGGCTCTTCTCTTTGGCCTCACTGCCTCCATCCGTAGCAGCTCGTGCTCACTGTGCTCTGACCAGCTTCCTTCCAGCCCTTCCCCTGCTGACGGTCCGTCCTCACTGTTCTATCTGCCTGACATACTTCTCCTGCCCCTCTTTGTTAAGCTGACTCACATCAACCTCTTAGATCTCAGCTTCCTTCTTCAAGGAAGACTTCCTTAATATTCCTGAAACAAAAAACCTGTTATATGCCTCACAGCCTCTTACACTCTAGAATTTTACCTTTTTTTTTGACTACTTGATTACTGTGTGTATCTCCTCATAGACTGTAAGCTTCTGTAGGGTAGGGACCATGTCTGGTTTTGGTTATCAATGTACCATCAGGGTCTCATCTCTGACACATAGTTAGAGACCAAAATTTTTTGCTGATTGAATGAATTAATAAGTAAATGAAACAACTCTATGATCTGGCTTGTGTAAAATGAATATAATGCTATTGGAAATACTGGCCCAGTGCATTGATAAGAAAGGCTTCTTCAGTGAAAGTTTTGTTTATAGGGTAGCATCTTCATGTTTTTAAGAGGGTTGCTTATCGATCTTAAGGAAAAGTTGAAGGTTTAAGAGGCAGAATAAAGACTTAACTTGGGGTAAAAAATGATGGACTTTAGTGCTGTGCTTTGGAGAAAATTTCTCACAACAGAAATGCCAAATGAAGTCTGCACTGTAGCCTGCTCAACTATATCTTGTCTAACCTTGTCCTTTGGAGCCACAAATTAAAGATAAGTTCTGACAGTTATTCCCCCGATTTCCAAAGAACCAGTATATTTACGTACCGGGGCAAAGGCCTAAACCGGAGTTATCAAAATAGCGAACTGGATGAGGTGTTGGTAAAGACTTTGATCGGCTGTCAAAAAACCAAGACTTCGGTGATTCCCTTGGCACAGGATCTGGTAAATTCCGTTCCTTGCATTGAGAAGGCGTATGCGGCCTCTTTTTGGAAGCTGTCCCAGTCACTTTAGGAGACTGAGGAGAATTCTCACAACTAACTTCTCTGTGAGTCTCTCTTTTAAGGATTCTCTCCTTCCATGTTTTGACCTCATTGGAAAGATGATGATTATTGCTTGAATATAGGACGAAAAAAAAAAAGAGAGAGAGACTGTAAGTCTGCATAACTCCTGAATTTATTCACACGGTAGATTCGTTCTCTATGCTCTGGCCACACTGTACGTCTTTCAGTTCCACCAACTGGTTATTCTTCCTGACCGAAAGCCTGTGTACACGTCACCCTCTGCCTAAAAGGCTTACCAGTCTCTCTTTTCATCTGGCCTAACCCTTGCCCTTTTCCACAGCTACTCTTATTTCAGTTTCTTCATCATCACTCCTCCCCACACCTAGATAAGGTCCTATTCGTGGTTTTTTTGTTATTGCTGTTTAATAGCACTTGTTGCAAAAAATTAGTTGTTTGTATAGTTATTTATTTAATGCCTATTTTTTCTTCTATTGTATCATTAAAGTGCTTGGCACAAGATTCTAATCTTTGATAGAAGCCAAATATTAAATTTGTTAGAACTGTTTATAAAGTAAAAGCAAATAGACTACAATAATGGACTTAAGGAATTCTCCTTTGACTTGGGTATGCAGACTTGTGGTCTGTTTAAACTACCCCTCAAAGATTTTTGTTCACTTCCTATTTCTTGGCTTTGTTAAAAATAGGTCAATTGATAGATAGCAAACATCTGGAATGGCGGTACTACAGTCTTATCCTTTTAAAAAAAACATTTATTACATATATTCTAAAAATCACTTTCCCCGTATGCGTGAAGGGTTGCCAACTGCAAAAAACAGGTATGGAGGTGTATACACCAAGCTCCCCACATGTAATAGCCAGAAGCATGATTTCGATATCACGTAAGCAGATCTTACCTTAAGAGTTCACTCTTTTGCCTTGTTAGCTGTTCATTTTGTTGCTTTAACTTGGAGATTTCTTTCTCTAGCCGTATATATTCACTTTTTAAAATAAGAGCTTTTGTGCTTTGTACAATGCCACTACCACCCCCACAAGTTAAGGGTTTATTTGAAGGCTGCGAGTCCGTACACTCTGATACAACTGGGAGGGAGGCAAAGACACAAACAGCTGATGATTTTCATTATCTCCAAAGTTCAAAATAAAGAAACATGACGAAGAGCCATAAGTCACTGCAAAAACCAGAACATCTCAATCACCATGTCCCTAGAAGCCATCCTTCCTTCCTCCTTCTACCTCCCTTCCCAAGCCTACTTGATCAACACTTCTAATCGTCTCTAGGGTCCTCCCGCTTCTCTCCAGCCACCAATTCCACTAGCTCGGCGCTGCCGGCTGGACTCTCCCACTACGACGGCAGCAGCCGCAACCCCCCCGGTTAGTGTTGTCCTTCACTGCTCTCTCCTCTGCATCAGGGGATGCACAGGAGGGCTTCTTCCAGCACAGAATGTGTGTGTGGGGTCCACCACCAGTCATTCAGTGCGCTGTAAGTCCTCAACACGTACCTGGTAACTAAATAAAACTCAGAATGATACTAAAGCATATTTTATTAAGTATTCTACACTGTATGTGTGAAGCTAAGGTAAGGAACTGTTTTGTAAAATTGCATAAAGATGTGAGGCGTTTATAAAGTAGAATAATCCACTGAGTAACTGATACTTTACAAAAGGTACGCTGTGTGGGGGGAAGATACTCAGTGTCCATTTTCTTTTGAATTACTCTGAGTTCAGATATAGTATGTACCTGAAAGTCACACATTGAGAGTAACTGTCCTGACCTTTCTGTGACAACAAAGCATGCTCATTTCCAGTTTTATCCCTGGAAGTGTTTCAGGTAAGGATGCACTTCTGCAACAGACACTAGAGAAGTTCGGGCCAAACATGTATGAGACAACTTTAACACTATCTCATTTTTGTTTTTTAAATGAGTGGATAATAATACACACAAATCTTACCTTATGTTGGTTTGACATTTAGAATTTTCAGTGTGCTTTCACACACAACTTTCAGTTTGATGCTTACAATACATATATATATAAGCTAGGAGGTCGGGTATTATTCCCATGATTTCATATAGCCATGAAGTGAGGGGGACCTGCCCTTAGTTCACTGCTTGTTTACTACACAAAGCTGTCCCAAGTACTGTTCAGCATCCTCTCTTTTCAAATGAAACAGAAGAGACAGTAATATGGAAAAAGGAACAGGTTGAGGAATGCATAAGCAGAAATTTGATCATTAGATTTGAAAACTGTAAGATAAATTTGAAAGAGTTTGCAAGTAAGCATCAGCTCTATTTTCAGTACTAAGAACATGTAGGATATTATTTCCTTATTTCTACTGCGTGCTGATTGTATTTTTACTGCGCATATGGTTAAAATCTACTACAATGTGTTTGTATTTTTACTGGGAAGGGTACTTCTACCTTGATAGTTACAGAATTCTTTTATAGTACTGAAGATATCTTCTCTCATATGTAAAGATCTGATAATGCAAAGGTAAAATTCTTATTTTTTAAGAATCTATAATGGATAAATAGTTGAGATTACAGGAAACTAAGGAGATGTCACAGGATAAATATGATCTCAATAAATTCATTTCAAAAATAGTTTTTTCTAAATTAGTGGTTAACAGGTTTATTCTTGACCACCACATATATCATAGTCTTCAAAATGTCTACATGTATTGAGAAATAAAATGGAAAGGATCTGGAAATATCAGCATTTTCTACTTACTTGAGGTATCTTGGGCTTGTTGATTTCTTCTAAGATTTTCTCTCAGTACCCTTATAACTTCTTTTTGATATTCTACAGTGGCTTTTGTAGAAGTAATTCTAATAAGAACAGCAATAGAAACATGTAAAAGCTTTGCAACTAATTATAATGGAAGAATAAACAGAATTGTTACCAAGAATTTTCTAGTAAGATAGATCACATTGACATAAAACCTGTAAGTGGCAGTAGATACCCCCCAGTATCAAATATTTTATAGCTATAACACCATTAAATTGGAAGTATTCTGTTTGGTTGCAGGAGTAATTTTTTAAATTCTTTTTAAATTTCTGGAAGCCCAGTAGCTATTAATCAGATACAATTACCAGAGCATAAAAGTAAAAAGAACTTCTATCCATTTCTACCTTGTCAGGGAAGCAAACCCTGGGTGCAGCTCTAGTCTAATGTGATACAAAGGTAAAATTCTGCTCACTGTTCCCCAGCAGAAAGTGACATTTTAGGAATTGTTGGCTTAAGTGTTAATCAGCAGTGATAAATCATGAGACTTTCTGTCTTTAGAGACTCTGAAAGTATCTGCTGATTCTATTTGATACGTAAAATTGCCTTTTTAAAAAAAGATTGATTTATTTATTTGAGAGAGACACACACGCAGAGAGTGCAGGAGGCAGGGCCAGAGAGAGAGAGGGAGAGAGAAACTCAAACAGACTCTGTGCTGAGCTGAACGCGGAACTTGGTCTCAGGACCCTGAGATCATGACCTGAGTCAAAACCAAGAGTTGGGACGCTTAACTGACTGTGTCACCCAGGTGCCCCTAAAACTGCTTTTTTATAATGAAGAACTTGATAGGTATAAGTTTCACTAAAACCAACAGTCTTATCAACGGAAGGCTGGTTAGAATGCATGAGGCTTCAGAGTGCTACTTTTTGGGCAAATTAGGCATCGTTAAATATTTATAGGAAGACCAAAAAGCATTAGGAGTCAGAAGGAATCTTAAGAAATCATCTAATACAAACCTATCCTTAGTGATTATGAATGCAAAGACCACAGAGATTAAACAGACTATATGTGAGGTGATATAAGTGTCAATATTATATTTCTAATTTGCTGTCTCTGTTTAATATTCTTTCATTATGCTATATCATAAAGAACTTTAGACATGCATTATGTACAGTATACATAAATAAAAAGAAGTCATGCTTTTGGGTATTAGGTACCGTAATTTAAGAGGAAATACAATTTTACACAAAAACACAATAGGAAGAACAAATTAAATTAAGAGAACCAACAAAATCTTAGTTGAAGTGCTAAACACAGACAGATGCACATATATACAGGTTCTTAACATTCATTTCCAAGCATAAAAAGGCCACTTTTAAGCTGTTTATATAAGACAGCAAGAAGCATCAAGACACAGTGTGTTAATAATTGACCATAACTATGCTGATTTTTAAAAACTTTGCAGATGTAATGATAATTTAGCAAGTTTAAAATCTGTGGATGTATTTATTTTAAAAAACAGTAACAATATTTCCATATATTTTAAAAAGTTAACCAACGCAAAAAATTTAGAAGGGAAAATTAAGCTATTTTTTTTTTTTTTAAAGATTTTATTTATTTATTTGTCAGAGAGAAAGAATGAGAGAGAGAGCACAAGCAGGGGAAGCGGCAGGCAGAGGGAGAGGGAGAAGCAGGCTCCCCACTGAGCAAGGAGCCTAATGCGGGGCTCGATCCCAGGACCCCGAGATCATGACCTGAGCCGAAGGCAGCTGCTTAAATGACTGAGCCACCCAGGCACCCCGAAACGTAAACTATTAAAGTCATGTTCAGTTAAGGCAAAGACATACTCTTTTTCAAACTCTTTGGCATTTTTCATCTTCTCTAGGTCTATTTTCACCAGCTTCGTTTTGAGATCTTCAATTTCTTCTTTATAGGGCTTAGCTCCTAAAGCAACTTTGTCCTAAATTTTTTAGAGAAAAGAAAAATAAAATAATTTCAGAGCAGTTTTAAAGAGCTGTTAACTACCTTGATTTGGTAGGAACATTTTAAAACAGCAGACTGCAAATATATGAAAAGCAGAAAAGGAACGAAATTTAACCCTAAAATAAACAAGTAGATATTTGCTGTGAAGTATACATGAAACTACTGGAAGCTAATATGTAATTGAGAATACATGACCTTCATTTTTTTTTTCTTAATTTTATTTGAGAGAGAGAGCGAGAGAGCATGAGCAGGCGGAGAGGCAGAGGGAGAGAGAGAAGCACACTCCTCACTGAGCAGGGAGCCTGACGTGGGGCTTGATCCCGGGACCCCTGGGATCATGACCTGAGATGAAGGCAGACGCTTAACCTATTGTGCCACCCAGGCGCCCCTTCATTTCCTAAAACAAATTTTTTCCCAATTAACAATGATATAAACAAAATGAAATAGAAAGGATGAAAATAATGGGTAGACAAAGGTAAATCAGGAAAATGAAACAAAAAGATGTCAGAATGGGAATATAAATAACAAACTAGAACTGAATTCAAAGTATTATAAAGTGTTCCTGGGATATTTGTACTCAAAGATGGTCAATCCGGTGCTGAAAATATAACTAGTTTCTACTCAGAGAAAAAAAAATCATATGTAAATACAAACTTACATATATTTAAACCCTTTTTTATAAATAGACTTACTTTTTAGAGCAACTTTAGGTTTATAGAAAAACTGAGCAGAGAGTACAGAGTTCCTATATACCCTTGTCGTGCTCCATCTCCCTCCCCACCCTATTTCCACTATTGTTAACATCACATTTTAGTGTGGTATATTTGTTACAAATGATGGGCCAATATTGATACATTTCAGACTTCATTAGGGTCTATTGTTTGTATTGTACATTCTAGGGGTTTTGACAAATGTACAATGACACAGTTCATAATTACAATATCATACAGAATAGATTCACTGTCTTAAAAATCCCGTTCCACCTATTCATTCTTCCCTCCCTTACCCCTTCTGGACCATTGACAATCATTGATCTTTTTACTGTCTCTCTGGTTTTGCCTTTTCCAGAATGCCATATAGTTGGAATCATTTTTCAGATGGGCTTCTTTTAATTAACAGTGTGCATTTAAGGTTCATCCATGTCTTTGCCGCTCGATAGCTCATTTCTTATTATTGTTGAATAAATCACTTGTTTCTTTGTATCGCTGTACCACAACCATACAATGGAGAATTAGATACTGAACAAAAAATAAAACCCGTCTAAATAGGAACCTAGAGAGCTCTCTTTAGTCCTCCAGGCTTTCCCAACCCAACTCCCACAGAAACGTTTACACGCACACCATGGCTAGCGAAGACTAAAAAGATGCAAAACCTCCAAAAATGATAGATGCTCAGCTTGAGGAGATGGATGACTGGGTAAGATAAGCCCATTTTTAGAGGAGCCCACTGTTTGCTTAGTCACAGCACCAGTTCAGTACCCTACCTTCTGAGTCAGATGCTGATGTTGGGGACTCCCTGAGCACATGACTGGCTGGAGTGTTGGCAGTTTTGTAAGAAACTGCCAAACTCTCTTTCAAACTGGCTGTCCCATTTGCAGTCCTATCAGCAATGAACTCCTATTGCTCTACCTCTTCATCAGCATTTAGTGTGGTGATTGGGATTTTGGCCATTGTGGCGTTTTGAGATATCATAGGTGTGTAGTGGTATTTCGTACTTCTCTAATGACATATGATGCTGAGAATCTTTTCATATGCTTATTTGTCACACGTATATCTTCTTAGGTGGGGTGTCTGCTCTGAACCGTTGCCTATTTTTTAATTGGCTTTTTTTTTTTTTTTAAATCATTGAGCTTTAAGAGTTCTTTGTATATTTGGGACAATAGTTCTTTATCAGATATGTGTTTTGCAAAATTTTTTCCTCCAGTCTGTGACTTGTCTTTTTATTGTCTTAACTGTCTTTCACAGAGCAGATATTTTTAATTTAAACGGAGTCCAACTTACCAATTTTTTCTTTCATGGATCGTGCTTTTGGTATTGTATCTAGAAAGTCACCACCAAACCCATGGTCACCTAGATTTTCTATATCTTATCTTCTGAGGGTTTTCTAGTTTTATGTTTTACATTTAGATTTTTGATCAACTGAGTTAATTTTTGTGGAATAGAGAAGGTCTGTGTCAAGATTTGTTTTCTGTTTGTGGAAGTCCACTTGTCTCAGCATCATTAGTTGATAAGACTATCCTTCTCCACTGAACTGCCTTTGCTCTTCTGTCAAGGATCGGTTGACTGCATTTTTGTGGGTCTAAGTTCTCTATTCTCTTCCATTGATCTATTTGTCTATATATTATTTTAAAAGTTCAAAGAACTCTAAAAAAAAAAAGGTATCCATTTATGACACTAAAAAGAAAATTTCAATATATTCTAGAAATGCAGAGATTATTTTTTTGCCACAATATAATGAATTAAATTAGTCATATATAACATTGTTTAAAACATTCTTATGTAAAAGAAATCAAAATTGAAAATACTGAATTAGAAATGAAAGATAACAGAATTCCCTATTTCAAATATATGGTATGTGACCAAAGCTGCACTCAAGAAATGCTGACGGTCTTAGTTTTACTAATAAACTGAAAAGACTGCAAACATAAATTTCTTGGTTAACATCACCTACTTATCATCTGCATTCTTAGACAGATTCAGTTAAGAAACTTTAGTGGCTCTCCCTGAAAAAGAATTCCTTTGAAATTCTGATTTGAATTACATGAAATTTAGGAATTAATTTGGGAAAAACTTAGGATTATATTTAGGTTCCACCTAGGAAATGGTGTATTTCTTATAAACCACATGTTATCCTATATTTCTTTTTAAAGTTTTATTTTTCTTTTCATATATGTTGCCCTCATTTTTTGTTAAGGTTAGTCATTCAATCATCTTATTTTAGATTTTGTGGCCATTATAAATAAGATCCTTTTTTTCTCCTCATGCAGGATGTCCATAAAGTTCTACTGCAGTTTAAATTTTTGATCTATTCACTGCTACTTTATTAGAAACAATTTGTAATGATATAACAGAGGAAATGTATCAAGATTTAAACAAAATTGTTAATGATTCATTTGTTCAAATTACTTTCTTCTCTATTCAATTAACAAACCTGACGTTATTATATTGGACAGCTATATCCAAGATGTTTTCAAATAGTGGTGAATAGGTTAAAAGTTTTTTCTTATGCCAAGTCTTGAGTTAAATACATTGTTGCATTTTATAGAATGTTTATATAATACCGAAAAGCAAATGAAAAAAAACCTCAAACGGTAAAAAGATTTTATGAATCTGTATTTTGTTTTCTTTCCCTATAGGTGTTATATAATGCCATAACCCAGAAAGTTATTTCTGGTATGCAGGAAAGATATTTATCTTTCCATAGATGCCTGGATCAATTTACACAGAATGTGGAGAAATTTGTTGCTTACTTCCTATCTTGAAACACTTTCTTCACTTTGGTGAAGAAATTGTAACCACTGTCTGCACTCTATGTTGTACCTCCTTCCCGCCAACTTACTGGCTGCTCCATCTTGGTATCTTTTGGTTACTCCTTATCTCTTCCCCATTATGCTCAGGTCTTCATCCAGTCTCATGACTTTTATATGCCGACAATTCCCCAAATTTATACCTTAAGTCTAGATCTCTCTTAGACTTACGTATACATACAACTGCTTCAGTCATATCTCAAGATGGGGGTCCCCAATAGCCATTTCAAATTCAACATGTCCAAAACTTAGTTTTGATTCAGCTCCCATAGTTTCAAAAACTTGCTCTTCTGAGAGTCTTTCCCATCTCCATAAATGGCAAGTCCATCCTTCTAGTTGTTCAAGCCCAAAACTCCGGAATCATCTCTGACTCCAAGAAATACGAGAGGAAGGGATGTGCACCACTTCTGGGCCAGAGTCTTTAAGAGTAGAGATTTTAAGATGATTTTCACTTCTCCATCTGTCCCTTTCCTGTGAACCTGGGCAGGGACAGTTTATAACTTGGCTTTAACCATGCAGATGAAAACAGCACCCGAGGGGGTGGTGGAGAAACAGGATGGGAGGGAAGTGAGCCTCTGAATGCTCACGCAGAATGGAGCCACCTGCCAACCTGGAACTCACACTTTTATATGAGATACTCCCTCTTGTTTGAGTTGCTGCAGTTTGGGTCCCTTTGTTGTAGCAGTTGGTATGTCACATTAACAAACACACCCTCCTGGATTCTATTTTCAAAGAGTAGCCTTTAAAAAAATTAAATCGGACCATTTTATCCTTTTGCCAAAATCCTCTGATGACTTCACATCTCACTCAAAATAAAAACCACAGTTCTTATAATGGACTGTCAGACCCTTTATGAGTTGACTCTCTGCTACTTTTCACCTTATTTTCCAACTCTATCTCCTTGCTCACTCTGCTCAGGAGACACTGGCTTTCTTGTTTCTTAAACATACCTACACTATTTGTGCTTTCCTTTGCCTGGAAGGCCCTTCCCCTACCACAAAGCTCACCCATTCCCCCAAGTCATCTTAGTGGTGTGGCTCTCCTCAGCTCCCCTTTATAAGATCCTATCTGATTTCCTCATGCTCCCACTTTCACCAGGTACCCACACAACCCTTGTCTAGCTTAATTTTTTCCCACCACACTTTTTACCATCTGACACACATATATACTTGCTTATTTTCTCTCTTCCTGAACCAGAATGTAAGCTCCTTGGAGGAAAGGAGGGGCATTTATTTCTTTCCATGGCTGTACACATGACATCTAGAGCAATGACCATCACATACCAGATACTCAACAAATCTATCTTGATCAAATAAAAATGTGATTCGCTATATAAAATAATTACTCTCAAAAATTCTAAAGCTTTACAATTGATTTTCTTGGTTTTTAGCTTTACATTTAACAAAATTGAGATTGTTTTTTATTGCCTCTCTGTTTCATGTCTTATTGAATGAACCAGAACTTTTAGAACAATGTTAAAATGATGAAAGGAGCAGACATTCTTGACTTGTTCCAAATTCTAACTGAGATGAAGAGATAGAAAACTTAAGTGACTATTAGGGTCAGACTCAAGCAAAAGAAGTGTGAGAAGGGCTGGAGCTAAGACAAAAAGGAGTGGTAAGGATGTGATGAATGAAGGTGTGATGTGTGTAATGGCATTCAGGTCAAATACAAATTACTGTTCTTCCTAAAGTAAACAGGTCAGATTCAGCCCAGAGGCTACCAGGTGGGGCTCAATAATGGGATTAAATAAAAAAAAAGAATTTTAAAATGTACTTATCTAATACAGAGCAAATACTTACATAAGCTTTTTTCCTGAAAAATACACATTTTAAACTATACAGAATATTTATATATCTTTTAAAAAATAATTTTTCTAGGAATATAGAAAATAATCATTATTTTACATGAAAATACACTTTTGCATTTCATTTCTAAATTTCCACTTGCTTTATTAAGCTTGAGGACTGAACTTCAGACATTACATAAGTAACAGGAAGTTCAAGTAAAAGATCGGAGTTCCAACCAAATTACCTGCCAAATTCAACAGTAAAAGAAAAAAAAAAAAAAACCCTCTTATTATAAAATGAGTTCTTTAAATTACCTGAAGTACTTGGATCATTTCTTTTGTTTTTTCAAGGCATTTATTTGATTCATTAACTTGTGCTTGAAGTTTTGCTATTAAGTCATTAGTCATCTCAAGTTCTTTCTGCATCTTTATAATCTTGCTTTCCTTGTGCTTAGCGCTTTCTTGGGCTTCACGCAGTGAAGTTTCCAGCTCCTGAATTTTCTGTTAGAAAAAGCACACATATATGAGGTGTGCCATGCAGGCAGAATCACAGTATATACATGTAAGACAAAGATGATCATATATAGGTATTAATGTTTCAGATTGCATTAACAAAGGATAGAAGAGAAACCAAATGTCACTTAATTTACATATGTGCTATTTTCTTTATTTAGAAGCTGATGATTTTTGGATTAAAAAAGACCCAAATTTTATATTATAAGGTTTAGTGTTATTTTATTTACTGGTTAGTATGGTGCTAAGCATATTAAACGGCACTCACATTTTAAATTAACACCACTTAAAGGAAATACACTTGTTAACAGACTCTTTAAGTAATGCATATAATCTATCTTTCCCTTTACTTTTATTAACTAGTTTTTAAATACAGGTATGTGGAAAAATTCGAAGGCATATAATAAAGGGTAAGTTTCCCTGTCTCAGAACCCCAGCTGACCCTGTAGCAACTACTGAACTCTTTCAAGTGTATCCCTCCAGAAATTTTCTATGCCTATCTGAGCATTTGTGAATACACAGTTATAAAAACAGTCAGTCATACATACAGTAGGAACATACTGAATATACAGTTTTTTTTTTTTTAACCTGGCAATATATTTTCCAGATCTTTCCATTATCAACACATACAGATCTCTCCACCTTTTTGTTTTCATGGATACATACATCCTGTTTCTTAGAGGTACTATAAATTAGTTAACCCATCAACCACTAATGAACATCTAGGTTATTTCCAGTTTCTTGCAAGTAAAAAAATACCTGAATTTAAATACCTGAATTTGTCCATATTTATAAGATTATTCACCCACACACACATATACAGGTTTTCCTAGAAAATGTCTGTTTCTTCTTGGCCCCATCCAGAATTTATTTTTGTTTAAGTGAGTGAGGTAGAAACCCAGATTTATTTTTTCTCAGTGGCTAGCTGGTTGTCTGGAATCAAACATTAAGTAAATCATCTTTTCCCCACCAAGTAGGCAGTTACCATTACCAAATACTGATTTCTCCTCCTTGGGTGTACTGGGGAACTCTACTCTGGTCCACTGCTCTATTTGTCTATTTCTGTATCATTACCAAACTGTTCTATGCTACTCTAATTTGTCATAATTACCAGAGTAAGAGCATACAATAATTATCTGATAGGGTATTTCCTGGGATTACTAAAGATGGAATTTCCTTCTGCTTCTTTATTGCTTCGGTAGATGGGTTTAGTATTTCTGCTATTTTTGTCTCCACCAGCTATTGAGGTCTGTAGGGATTAGCAAATCAATAAACTGTACTAGCGATCTTCTAGTTTCCATTGGTAATTGATTATTAAACTAGTGGTTGATGTTTTAAGTATTTATTTTGGTAAAAATGATAAATTGTAATTTACTCTTGGGTTCTTCACTAAGTCATTTTGTGAGCTAACAAAATAAAATAGCATATTTGCTTCACAATTCCCAAGTAAGGCTAGTTAATAAAATAACTGAATCATTCAAATAACATATTGATTCTTGGGTACAGGTTAATATGCATAAAGATATTTGTTATATTTTTAGCCTCTTCCATTTTAATTTTGATATAACATTAACCAATATTAAAGACTTTGATGATAATTAGAGAAAATCTGAATTGCCCTTTCCCTCTAAGCTAGTTCTATAAATAGACACAGATTATCATTCAATAAAAAGTTATGATTGAAGAAATTTATAATGTACAGTAATAGCACTTTACACAGTATATGTATCTCTTAATCAAATTAAGCTATGAGTTACTTCTCTTTTATAATTTAAAGGGAAGATCTCATATAATATATATAGTTCTGTAGTTATTTGAGTGATAGCCACAGTAGAACTAAACTTAAAAAAGCCCATCACACACACAAACATGGTCCATGTTCTCTAATACATTAGATACTATAATTTTGCTCTAAATGTTATATAAAATGCATCTTTAACTGATCAATTTGCAAATTAAAAAACATCTTCTAAGAAATCACATACCTCTGTCGTTAGTTTTGTGGCTCTTGATGTAACATGAAGGTTCTTATTGTTTTCTGTAGCAGAATCAACAAGGATACCAGACGTCAGGGAGATCTTCAAAGTTTGGTAGTTTTTAAATAGTTGTTCATTTTTCTCTTTCACTGATTTCAGGTCACGTTCCCATTCTCTGGCTATGGTAGCATTTCTTTCCTCAAACTCTGTAGATTCATTCATTATAGTCTATTGAATAGTAAAACACCATTATAACTCTAAAATGAATTACATATGAAAAATACTATGAAAACTACTAGAATTCTAGGACAGGGCATATGCTGAAATTCATTATTTAGGACATCCTAGAACAGTAATTTAAAAGAATGTGAACATTCTTTGTGGTTGGCATCAGTTCCTGAAATTTCAGAAGATGCTGGATGTTGATGATGAGACTAAAAGAAGAATAAGGACTGGAGAGGATTTGTATTGATTTGCAAGATGATAAATCTCACTTTATTGGATCAGTGCTAACATACGAAGTGGAAATCTGCAGAACTGTGCAGGTTAAAGTCACTACGTATGTTATAACATTTATAATGTCATATACAAACATTAGCTGACACGTAATGGCAGAGCAAATCCAGTAAACTTAACAGCAATCTATTTTCCTGTTTCATTTCAAACCTCAGTGTTTATAGGGAAAAGAATTCACTGACTTTTGGCAATTAATCTGAAAATCTTGTATTTCTGTGCAGGGAATAACACTCAATCACTACCCTCCTTTACACTGAAGGCTAACTCTGAAATTATTCATATTATCTTTTTACTTCCTAATTCTTAAGGGATGTACTTTTTGCTTTCATCATTAATGCCTTATTGGTTTTACCTATATCTTTAAGGCACTTCTATCAGACTTGGATGCTAAATTAGTTGTGTTATTGCTGGCATTCTGGGCTCTCCTTGGTTCTGCACTACTGACCTCATACCATATAAAGTTATCAATTCCTATTTTCAAGGTGCTGGAAGAAGCCATATATCTCTGCTCATCCACACAGTAGAAATCCCTACTTTCTACTCACAAGTAGGTCCTCAATATTACAAGAAAAACACTGAATTTTATGGGGATTATCTTATTCAAATGTTGGTTTTTATGATTTTCCTCTGTTGATTGTGGACTTTTTTTTTTTTTTTTGAAGCAGCTCATTTACTATTTTGCTAGCTTGAGGTATTCAACAAATGGGAATATCCACAGGAAAATATATTTTAAAAAATATTATCTATATTTCAGTGTGATTTAAGTATAGTTTTCAGATGAAATTAAAGTGTCAAAAAGGACCTACCCAAACATATGAAATATGAAACCAATTTTAGAAGCTCTTTTTTTTTAATTAACATATAATGTATTATTTGTTT